ATGTTTCTTGAGCAGGTCGAACTTATAATTAACTTACTGGCTAAGAAAGACGAGATCGGTTCGGTTCGAGCTTTTGAAAAAAAACTAGATCGATTTTGAAAAGTCGCTAACCAATGCCATATTAAACTGATACTGTAATGCATTTGTTAGCACATTATAAGTTTTGATATGATTCGTTTTTTTGGAGTGCATGGGATGGGTGTGCGTCTGAAGTCTCTACGGACGTAGATGAGCAAATGGAAGACTAATTTTCATCGTGCTTCCTCCCCCACCCTCTCTAGGTGAATGCCCGAAAAACTACTTGCCAATCTTTGAATTATTTTCTTAGCTCAGATAGTTACACAGTTTGGAACAATTTTCTTGTTAAATAAGAATCTGGTTTCATAAGGTGATTTACGTCTCAAACAGACTACTGATAGTCAATATACAAGCGAAAAACGTTAAGCGAGTCGAGGCTCCCGACCAACTTGTGTTGAAAATATTTTACGTAACGAGAAATCATTTCAGGTTGCAGATTATACTGAAGATATAATTTAACTTGTGTTACCTTTAAAATTCTCTACCGAATGATATAGAATGATTGATTCTTCGATTCATAATTGACGTCGATCCATGTTTCATATTGAAAAGCACCATTTTCTGTCATGCCACATGGCCATCAAAAAACCACTTATCATAACTCTTTTTCTTGCCAGGAGCACATTGATGATTTTGTTACGGTGAAATATTCTATAGATACCCTTCTCTTTCAAAAGAAGAAAACCAAATCGAAATCTGAAATTTCACCAACTTTATGTGATATCGGACAATTTTCTCACGAGTTTGCTTTCAAGTGATACTTATGGATTCATTATTAGCAATAACTAATTAATCATCATAGATGACCATCAATTGGTTAATAATGAACACTTTCGAGTAATAAATTGTTGTACAATTCACAACTAGAACGAAAGCAGTACCAGTTCGGAGGTACTAAGTAGTCAACTGACACTCTGCTTATTTGTGACCATTCACGAGTTCGTGCGTACTGAACCTTTTATGGTGTTAGTCACAATCTGAAGAAAAAAATTGTTCCTCGTGTACCAAGAGCAAGAGGCGTAGCGCATCACAGGACTGTGTATAGAGGTGAAAAAAGCGAATTTATGGTGATAGGTTCGTGATTTTTAAAAGCTTGGTAAAGGATAAAGAAGAGAAAGATTCTCTTCAAATCGCGTTGCGTCAATACGGATTGAAGTGCCAAACGAATAATTTTGACCAATGTCTCACTGGAGAGAGTGCCGAAACTTATAACTGTTGATATATATTGAAGTCAGTTTGAAGGTCGACGTACACGAAACAATTTGAGTTTATAACATCTATGGGCAGGACAAACATACACCATATTCCAGAAAAAAAACTTTAGTTCAATATCTTAGCACAATATTGAACAGATTTTATGATTTGGACAAGTTTGATTCCAATAATTTTTTAGGACACAACTAATCGTTTTCTCAGGAATCAACGGTACCTGAAATTGAAGGATACTCGACCGGTTGCTACATATTGCGATACAGACAAACAATTTTTCCTGCATGTATCTACTTACGTGCTGTAATGCTATTGGATTTACTGTTGGTCATTCTTCTCTAGAAAAGAAAAAACTGTGGCCGATGCGGGTGTGAATGATGAATGAGCTTGTCGCTGAGAATGAGAACCCCATACACCTACATGTTCATGCACCCCCACCCTTAATGTTACCATGAGATTGAATTAAATGAATTGAGGAACAAGTTCAGAAAATTAATACGTAGGAACAATTCAGTTTATTTATTGTTCGATTAAATAACCATGTCAATGAAATAAAATCGTATGTGAAAGACTGTGATCAGAAAATCATCGTTAAACTTTCTAGCACTACCGCTACTAGACTAGAACAGAAGAATGATGAATAATTGTGTTTTGAAAAAGTTTCTTGTTTTATTATTAATTCTTCTTCAAAAATAAAAAAAGGTGCTTTGATTTCATCGTCAAATTCTATCATTTACTTAACTTCATTGGCATTTGAACGAGTAGCATTTATTGTAAGTTATGTTGTTTTACAACACGAGACATAAAAACTATCGTTTTTGTCTAAGAAGGATCTGTCAAATTTCTTTTCTCCGAATGCAATCATTTAACAAAGAATAAAATTTGAAGCTCGTTCTACTACGATCATTCATGCACAATTCGAAATATCCATGACTTACTGGAACCTGTTGTTTGTTGTTCTATTGATCATCGACCGTAGCTCAGGCTATTATTATGGATATTCTTTTTTCTTTCATGTAGAATATTTCTTGAGCAGATCAGTCGTTCTCTCTAATTCGAAAATATATTCCATAGTAAAAATCATTACACATGTTATGATAGCGCGTTTGCAACTCAATTCGGATTACGAATTCATTTGAAGCAAACTCGATATCATGATTCAAAGAGTAACATAACCTTTATCAATCATCAGAAAAAGTTTAACTCCTGTGAATTGCCAATATCATAATATCAGTTGTTTGTCGACATTACTGCATATCAATTTTCTCCAATCATCAACATTCATGTTATAAATATAACTCAAGGTTTTCTTTTTGTCTTTGTACACTCATCATGGATTCAGAGCTACGTGATTTGCTTGTTTGATTCTCATTCATTATTTTATTCATCGGAGATAGTCTTTTTAACGCACTATGAATCGAAAAGCCACCATGATCAATAGATCATTTGGATAAATGTCTTTTCAATTTATTTCTATTTAATTTATATCTTCAAACCAACCTACACGAATGTTATTTAAAGATATTGAAGACAGATCGGAGATTCATCATTTCATGCAAGCTCAATGGTATTAACAAGGGTATGTATCTTAAAGTTATTCGTTGTTGAAAGTACTTCTTCAATAATAAAAGATATCACCATCTATCTCCATTGTGGTGGAAAATAACGAATTATCTAAAACTTGAAAACTTGTCGTTCGAGCGTATAGATGTGATGCACTAGTCTGTGTGTGGATGTATACTGTCTTATTGTTTTTGTCGTTGTTGAGAATAAAGCTATATTTTCGCATGTCTTCTCTTGAAAAAAAAAACAATCACAAATTGATTCATTCGAAGTGAACAATGAAATCACTCTCATTGATATCGTCACTTACTCTTTCCTTTCTATGCTCTCAGTATTGTCTTTTTTCCTTTGTTCATTTCTGTGTATTATATAAGTTTGAGGCCGTTACGTATTGAAGTTATCAAGTAGTTTAATAAAGATCATTTCTGAGAATGGTGCCATAGTGACTCCTTTTATGTATTGTTACAGTTATGCTCTCATCAAGTAGAGTGTCATGCGGTGAAGATATATGCGCGGCACAGCTGTTGAAAATACAAGTAAGAACAGAAAAAATAATGCAAGATTGTGTTGACTGTCAATGACACGTGTGCATTTTTTGCTTTGCTTTTTACTTTTTTTTTGTCGTTCTATTTCATTGTATTGCTTTCGTCCGCAACGATCATCAATGTTGTGTATACAGGCATGTAAATACACGCACGTATTAGAGCTTGGGAAGACATTTCTTTATAATTGAAAATCAGATCTTAGGTAATTTTACTTTCTTTCAAATTTTCGTTACGATTTATCATTATAGTTATTTCATCAATTGAAAAAAATGCAGCTAGTCCTACGTAGAATAACTATAGAGAACTGACGAACACCAATATGGAAGACCAATTTCTCTAAAAAATAATAATACCATAATCACTATTTGATTTTATCACTTTATATCAAGAAATTCTTACGTAGGCGAGAGTTAAGTATATGCTGTAGAAGTACAAACTTTTCAAGTGATGTGTACATGCTTCGTCTAAAGTAGTTACCGAACTGGATCAAATTCTAACATTTCAATTGATTTTTGAACCTTCTAATAATGTTAGACCAAGTTCAACAATAAATTTTGATAGAGAAAGTCAGCATTACTCGAAAACGTGATTGGAACAATAGGTTTTAAACATTGTAAAATATGGTATTTTTCACACCGAATTTCAAAAATTTGTCTACCTTTATCCACAAAACTAAGTCACAAAAACTAAATTTGTTTAATTCATATAAATGAGAAGCTTTTTTCATTTTTCAACAATATCTTATAGAGTCTATATAATAAAATAAAGTATGACTAATCTCAAAATAATGACATTCAACATTGCAAGTTGTCATGAATCCCAACGTGGAGTTATCGATGTAGCACATACAATAAAAATTGAACAGTCTGATATAATCGCTGTGCAAGAAGTTGATAGATTTACACATCGATCAGGTACTGAAATTGATCAGTCATATGAACTTGCACATCTTGCTGGTTTGTCTTATTCAACATTTATTCATTCGATGGATTTTAATGGTGGACAATACGGAAATGCTATTCTATCTCGACATCCATTTGATGCTATTGAATTAAATCATTTGAATGGTCATGGTCAAGGTGAAACACGATCGCTTGGAATTATTTCAATGAAAATAATGGATAAATATCGACTCTATTTTGGTGTTATGCATCTTGAGCATGAAATCAAAAGTTTGCGAGAAGCACAAACGAAAGAAGCCATTGAATTATGTCGATGCATTGTACCCGAAAATGAACCTTTTATTCTGGCTGGCGATTTTAATGATTCACCAACTAGTCGAACACTTGAACTTCTATTAACAAATGGAGAATTTCTACTATCATGTGACAAATGTCCAAAGACTTTTCCAGCTCATAATCCTAATCAAACTATTGATTATATATTGTTGAATACAAAAGCAATGGAAATATTCGAATTGAAAAGTTATCGAACGTCGAACACTGAAAAAACATCCGATCATCTTCCATTAATTATGGAACTTGAAAGAAAATAATATTTATTTCAATAAATATTCAAATTAAGAACTCATCGGTTTCTATCTATCATATCATTAATCTGTGGTTTATTGCAATTGAATTTTTTATCAATAAATATATTTTAATTCTTCTAGAAACTGTTATTTCATTTGAACAGAATAATTTAGTAATAACAAGAACAATTGTTTTTCGTGTTAATTTGAATAATTTTAAAAAAATAGTTGACATGATGTATTTTATGGAGAGATATAATAGACTTTTTTTTACTTGTAACATATAATAGATACATTGATATATATTTATGCTATATTTTGTTTGTATACTTGGTTAAAATGTTTTTTATTTTGAAAAGAAAAATCTAGTCACTATTCTATAACGGGTGTCACTACATTAATTGGTCTCACTTCGGTATTTCTAATGAATCCTATTGCCATATGGTCTCTGTGTTCTAATCGACGTTGATATGAAAATAAGTTCTTGACTTTAGTTGTCAGATCAGGTAAAGAAACTGCACTTGCAAATGGTAATAAAAATGTGGTGTAATATGAAAAAAACTTCACATAAGATTGAAACTTGTCACCGAAACTTTCTAGTGCACCACTCAGCTCAATCGATTCCACGATCATATAAGGAATATGGAGAAAAAAATAAAGAGCTGATATGATTAATAAATGAATTGACATCTTTCGATATTTCCGCCATTGAATTTGATGAATTGAGCGACGTTTTTGAAGAATAACACGGAAAAATAAAATCATATTGAAAATAACCATCACTAATATGGGTAACATGTCGTGCAATACAATATCCCACATGCCGACCAGTTGCACATTGTAATAACACAGAGGAAAGCCACAAACAGGTAACTGGTATTCAAATGTATTTTCACACGATGGATATAATATGGTAAAGTAATAGAACAATAGCGAATAAACGATAATAATGACAAGGGGACAATAATGAATAAGAGCTTGCTTTTTCCACGTTGACATCCATCGATTATGAAAGATAAGAATATATCTTTCAACTGAAGCCCAAGCAATAAGAGCCAATGAGATAGAGAAAATACCTTCGTCAATGAATAACCAAAAAAGACATAGACTTGGTGTGCTTGGAAATACATTACCAGAATAATAGAAGTAACTTAGATATAATGGAATATTAGTCAACTCATAAATGATATTAATAATCAAGAGTACAATAATCGTATGATTACTGAGAGTACGTCGTAGAACTCGATCGAAAAGTAAATGCCACAAAACAAAGATATAGCAAGTAAATAATAACATTAAAGATATGAGATAAAGCCAAAAGCATACAGGAAATGGAATTGAAAAATTGAAATGATCATTTTTCCATGATGTTTGATTGGTAGTTTCCTCATTTGACACCATATTTATCATTTCCTTACAAGCAAACTTAACCGAATTTGATTAAGGAGTGTAAATATATCTTAATGCATACCATATACATATATATAATGCAACGGTGATAATCAAATTAATCCACAAGGACACTGTTTGTTTCCGAGTTTGGCTAAAACTAGATCATATTTTGTTTGGTTTTCAATATACTCTCATCTCATTAATAGACAGCATGAAATTGTTTGAAAAAAACTGTTGGAACTCCTCCTCCTACCGCGATATGGTCTGCTTTATGAAAATGTAAGTAAAATAATTATTACTAACGATGAGTATTGTTTGGTAAGACTTAATCAACTTTCTAAAAGTTATCGAGTTTTATTTAATGTAGGCGAAAATAAAAATGTGTTACCATTCTGTCTTATATTACAAAATCAACAAATTTTCTTAATATTTTCGTAAAACTTAACATTAGAAGCTTTATCATGGAAAAAAAACAGTTAATATTTCTTTCTTTATATTCGATACTTTTTCTCTCTCTCAATTAACTGTTGTTTTAAGCTTCAAATGATGTTGTACAGTGAATTCGAGATCGAATTACGAATTCACTACGTCAAAGATTTAGTTAGAAAAAAATAACCATATGAATATCTGAAAAAATGACAAGGTGCTCTATTTAAAGTTTCTTTTAATTTTTCTGCCAGCAACTGTAAAATAATCTTTCTCATTACACTTTTCATTTTGAAAGAAATTGTTCACTATTTGAAGTAGTTCTCAAAGATAA